TCACCAGTATAAAACAAAAGAAAAAAAAGAAAAAAAAAAGAAAATAGCAGATTTTTGGGCGACCCAGGTCACATTGTGACCTTGGGTCGCCACCCATGTCAATGCTTTTTTATTTTATTTTTTTTATTCTTTTGCCACCGCCATGCTTCTTCTTGCTTTTTTTTTTATTTTTTTTTATTTTTTTGGATCAATAATTTGGACACTTGTCCTTTTTCTATTGGATATTATAAATATTGTATGAATAGATAAATGTAACTCAAATTATTGATATTATTTTGTATTAAAAAATAAATAAAAAATATAAAAATTCGTATTTTTTCATTCTCTACAAATAGAGACCACTCTTGATATGCTTTGAAACACAATTGAAATTATTACATAGGTTGAGTTGTAGATAAAATAATACCAAAAATGTATTATAAATAATATTTAATAAATAAATAAATAAAAATAAAATAAATATTATATTGGATTGAGTTGGGTTGAATTTGGTTGGGTTGTGGATAAAGATATGTAGGTTGTTATAAGTTGGGTTGTGTAGGTGAAAGAGAGAAAAATAATTTTTTATTATTGGGTTGGGTTGGGTTGGGTTGTGGATAAATATAGTCTAAAGCCAACTTATTTTTACCCCTGAATATCTCCCCAATAGAGGCTTCGGCCACCGAACCACGTTGCCACAATGACGCAATTAGGTCAGGCTTCGTTACCGAAAGTATCTCCATGCAGTAAGCCTGGCATGCCTCTGAATCCGGGTCCTCAACGACCACACCTCCCTCAACAGGAAATGGCCCGGACATCGTGCAACATAATGCTCATCTCACCAAAAGGCAGGTGAAACGAGTTAGTATCAGGCTGCCATCGCTCTACAAATGCAGTAATCAGTGGAGTGTCCAAGTGGACGTGCATGGAGTCTGCCAGATGTGACAGCCCGGTCTGTCTAATCAGATCAAGTGCCTCGGCAGACATTTCACCTCGTCAAACTTCAGATTTTCCACAGCTCGCTGTCTGTTCTGGCACTTCAGTAAGTATCGCATCTCTCCATTCCACATTCGGGAGGCTACATGCCCTAGAAAGCTAGGGATCACACTCCCATCCATGGGCCCACCGGGAACTGGACCTCTAACGATCCAGTCTGCCCCATCATCAGTCCTAGATCGTTTGCTAGTACCTACATTAGAATAGAACAGACAAATATATAAATACATAATTGAAATAATGTCACTAACAGTACTGATAATTTGTTGCGATTAAGTCGAAATTTTAATGTCAAACGAAATAAAAATACTTAAATTATTTACCTGAGGATCCAGTGCTAGCAAAACGCCCACCAGCCTGTCGTGGAATAGCAGGCCGAACAGGAGCCGTAGGCTGTGCAGGAGCCGCAGGCTGTGCAGAAGACGCATGCTGTGTAGGAGGTGTATGTTGAGCAGAAGGTGTATGCTGAGCAGAAGGTGTATGATGCGGTGGGAGTGTAGGAGAAGAAATATCGTACGCATCGTCATATGATGTGGACTCGTCAGAAGACTGCTCCGTCTGGGCTACCGACTCATCAGCATAATATACCTGCTGACCGTGCGGTGCTGGTGCACAGGGTATCGAACTGCCTGCCTGGCCAGCATAATAATATCTCTGCTGATCATGATCGTACAGTAATGGTCCAGGGACGGGGACTCTGGAACTGCCTGCCTGCCCATACCCTTGCTGACCAACCGGTACGGCTGGTGCGTGGAGTCTCGAACTGTCGGACTGGCCAACCTGACCAGTTTGTAACATCCGAGCCTCTTTGATCGCATCCTCCCTAGTGCGGCGACCGGACACATTTATACCCCGTCTTATAACGTGTCGGGTTCCAGAACCGTGACTAATATTGTCGGCCGGGTCGTCACGGTCAGCTTGTTCAGGTATACGAATACCCTAAATAAACAATTTAAAGTAATAATTAGTAAATGTTTTTTTTTTTAATTTATATAATACGATAATTACATATATTCATTTATATAATAACATTATTATATATATGTTTTTATACATATTTATAATAAATTATATACATATTTTTTAAATTGTTACATATATGTTTTTAAATGCTAATATATTAATTTTATAAAGTAACCAGTTTATTTTATATTTATTTATCTTTTATATTATAATTATTATTAATTAAATGCTAATATTTTAATTTTGTAATATTCAAATAAATATATTATAATTATTTTTTACTTTATTAATGTGATATTTTTTTCTTTTATATTATGATTATTATTATATTTATTATTATGCTAATATTTTTAGTTTTTAAATATTCAAATAAATATATTATAATATTTTTTTCTTTATTAATGTAATATTTTTTTCTTTTATTTCATAAATATTATTATAATTTTTTTTTTACGTTTTTTAATTATTTTTATATTATAATATTTATTAATATTTAGAATAATTATTTTTATTATTTAATTATAATATAATTAAAAAAAAAGCGTCCGACCGGTTCGTCA